GAATTTTTATAGCCTTCACGTTTGTAAAGTTATGTACTAATCGTAACGAAATTTTGCATGTAAGACAGACAGAACCTGCTCTACTTGCAAACCGCTATTGTTTTTGGCAATGATCGGGGATGAAATGGACCAAAAACTTTATTTTTGTCTGTTCTTCTGGTCTGTATTGAGGTCGCAATTATACCCGAATATCATCAGTTCTTGTCAGTGAGTTGGACCGGTTAGGGTGGACAAAAACCAAAATCCTATTGCCAGCGGATCATCATATAACCTAGCGACGAGGTCTATCACTAAACAGTAGAGATTGAAACCTAATATGATTTGCTTAGCGTGAGAAAAATCCATCCCTCAATTGTATTCCTAACCTCTCTCTATATTAATTCGCTAACGGATTACCCCTATCTTCCACCACCTGCTTCAGAACTACGTTTTCTTACCTTTCTACTTTTACTCCTCCATGTTTACTGTGTGTTAATATTTACAGAATATTTACATGTCTGTCCGTTGCATGAGTATAGTAATTCGTTTCGTTCAGGTATGTCTGTTGTATTTTAATAAATGTTTATATTCAAATTTAATTGCTTTCAATTCACCCTCTCTTTACAGGGCTATCAACTAAGAGGAACATGCCTGCCTACCGGTACTAGGCCTGCGCACAACCCTTATACAAGGTATTCCCGCAAGAAATTATATCATAATTAAATAAAATATAACGATTTTAATTCGTTCACTGTTTCCTTTTCAGGTTATTCAGGTGCACCTGCACCTCCCTCGTTGTGGCCGTTCTGGGTGATATTTTCATATTTAATGTATAAAATAAAATAAATAAAATTCAAAAAAAGTCTATGTTTGGGAACCTTGGTTGTCTCCGCATCAGTGACCAAGAACAAAATTTTAATAGGGTACCTTAAGGCGATTCCTTGTCAGAACTCCGAAGACATTTTTGCCACCTTCATTATAGTTGAATTGCCAACCATCGTTAAAAAAAGTAGTGGCCAGGGCACACCACAATTTTGTGGAAAAAATTACAAAATTTGTATCCTACGACGTTCAAATTTATTCCTGAAGAACATAGACCCCAAAAGTTTATAGTATATCCAAGAGGAGTGGTTGACCTTTAAATTGATACCAATAATGCTGATGGGCCGAATACTTTGTTGTGTCTCTTTTTCTGATCGCTCGAAGGCCACAATTATAAGTCTCGGTCAGGAATCCGATATGTCGAATTGTAGCCACTTACATTGGAAAATTCGGTTAAAAATGAATTAATACCAAAAAACGGAACTTTTATGTGAGGATATATCAAAAACTTCGATCTATATATACACCTCACAAATTTGTATATAAGTCATCCTTACAGAACCTTTTATACCAAAATACAGCCCCATCGGTTAAAAAAATACCGAACATGATACGATACGTTTCTATTAGATCTATACAACATCGTAAATGGATATTAATTATTTTTGGTAGGAAGATTTGACTTCCCATAAGAATTTGATGAATCAAATAAGAGCGAATACGGATGAACACACGGACACACATAAATCTACTCGAAATTCATTCAGATCAAGAATATATCTTATGTGGGACTCCCCCCAATATAGCCCGAATGTTAATAATTGTTGGCAAAACGCACTCAAAACCACAAAATACCAAAAATTTGGGGGTACCCAAAAAAATTTGACCAATATTGATTTCTGGCAAGATGATTTGGTAAACAATTAAAACCCAACATACCAAATTACAGTCAATTCGAGGAGGCTTCGCATCAAATGAGGATCAAAAATACAAAATTACAGCAAAATTTTGGTTGAATAACGTGCCCAAACTCCCCCAAAATACCCGAAAAAGTGGATCGATTTGATAATGTGGAAATTCAGTACCCAACAAAAACACAAAGTGATTGATAACAGTTCGCTCGAAAAACGCCTTAAGTACCGAAAACTGGAAGGTACCCCTATGTGGGGGACCGATATAGCCCATTATCGAACTTGACCTGTTTACAGACAGGAAAGAACTCTGTGAAAAATGTTGGCGACCTAACTCAAATCGTTTACACTGATCAAGAATATATATATCCCCATGTTACCAAATACCAATTTTACCATATATATATATGATTTTATATCATCCGAAACGTAAAAGACATACCATGAGTTGATCTAAAAATTTGGCCCGAAAAATAGGTTTTTTAGAAATTTGATCGCACAAAATTATATATATGAATGCATACTACATACACAAAATACATATTATAGGTTCGGAATTATTGCGATGAGTCACAAAAAAATGTGTTATGTTAGGCCATGGCGAATTTTATATATGTATATATATATCGTCATCATAAACCCAAAGTAACCACAGAAAAATTCTAAATTGACATTTTGTTCACACAAAAATTTAGACATCTAACATCAAAAACAGAGATCTTATTCAAGAAATTCAAACGGACGTAACTGCAAAATCATGTTTTTATTAATGCAAACAAACGTAACTACACTCCTGTAAAAAATTAAAGCTCGCAATATTGAAGATAGAATTTTGGTAATGAAAATGAGATATATCTGCCAATTTTTTACGGTAGCTCCCATAAAGCGGTACCCCAAAATTCGGTATTTTATGGCTTTTCTTAATTTTTCAACTAATCAGCTTTAATTTGGTATTTTTTGTTTCCCACTGGGTGGAACAGTACCCTGTGCAAAGATTTATCGCTATTGGAGAAAATTTTTATTACTTTAGTGCGGCATTTACCTAAAATCGGTCGAAAATGTGTATGAATCGATTTTCACGAAACTTCACATACATCACTCCAGACTCAATTCAGTACGCTATGGGTAATTTCGTTCAAATCGAAAGAAATATAGGGGCTTTAATGCACCATTTACACAAAGTCTGACGAAAATATATGGGAGAGCTATGTCTAAATCTAAACCGATTTTCGATTCTAGACTTAGTTCAGTACGTTATGCAAATTTGCGTGCAAATTTAAAAAAATATAGGGGCTTTAATGCACCAATTACCCAAAATCTGAAGAAAATATGTGTGGGAGCTATGTCAAAATCGGACTACAATTGTGTAGTTACGTCCTTTTATTTCAGAAGATATAAAGTCAAAAGCAAAAAAATTAATTTTTTTTTAAATAATAAATACGGCTCTATAATGCGGTTAAACTTTGAACAAATTTCCAGCCAGAAGATATAAAGTCAAAAGCAAAAAAAAATTATTTTTTTTTTAATAATAAATACGGCTCTATAATGCGGTTAAACTTTGAACAAATTTCCAGCCATGCACAATTTTTAAAGATTTTTGCTTCTTCTGTAAAATTAGTAAAAGTGTAGTTACGTCCGTTTGCATTTATTATGACGATATAAACATTATAGGTTATGCCATGCCGAATTTTGAAAATGTTTTGCGGAACATTTATATAAGTGTTTCGTCAAAACCAGCGCCTATTTAAAACATTTTCTTTGAAGTTTTTAAGTTTTTTATCCCCTAAGGACCCTTAATGTAGGTGCTATATGAAAACATAGACATATTTATCTGAAATAATGTGATATATACATAGCTCCGAAACAACAACAAATGAGAAAATATCCACACACCAGGCCACAGACGTCAAACATGTGCGCGTCGCACAACGAAAAATTAAAAATTTTTAATTTCTTTCGATCGGTGTGCGCACCGGCAAATCGGTGTGAACACCGTACCACACACGTCAAACATTGCTTCGATTCACACCGATCGAACGCACATGTTTGACGTGTGTGGGCCACTTTATCGTCGCGAATTTTTGAAGTAATGTTGTCGTAATATAATGAATAATAAAGAAATAAATAACGAAAAGCGAAATTTTTTTCGTTATGAGAGTGAGGAAAATAAGACAGTTTGTGAGATTGACAATTGCGAAAAAAATAGTGTGGAAAATTTTTAGTTTCAAATTTAAAACGACACATAAACAACTTTCATAAAACTGTTGCAGGGATTTTAAATTTTGACAACATAGAAGAATGAGCAAATATTACTGCAACACCATCAACATCTGCAGACATTTCTATTAAAAATCCAAATAAAAAAATTAAAATTAGTATGAATGAAAAAAACATTAATTCTTGGATGTGTTGAACTGGTATCAATTAATAATGTCCAATTTAAACCATTTGATTCAAAAGGGGTTTAAAACAATTATCGATCCAATGTGCAATGCGCTTGGAATTCATATTAATTCGTCTAACATTGTCGAAAGAATTGATGAAGATGCAAAAGATGTAAGGGACATAATTACACAAGATATCAAATTGAAAATGCTATCCATAAAAATAGACACTGCAATAAGATATGGAAAGAGTGTTTTGGGTATTAACGCACATATATATATATATATATATATATATATATATATAAGAATTTCTATTAAAAATCCAAATAAAAAAATTAAAATTAGTATGAATGAAAAAAACATTAATTCTTGGATGTGTTGAACTGGTATCAATTAATAATGTCCAATTTAAACCATTTGATTCAAAAGGGGTTTAAAACAATTATCGATCCAATGTGCAAAGCGCTTGGAATTCATATTAATTCGTCTAACATTGTCGAAAGAATTGATGAAGATGCAAAAGATGTAAGGGACATAATTACACAAGATATCAAATTGAAAATGCTATCCATAAAAATAGACACTGCAATAAGATTTGGAAAGAGTGTTTTGGGTATTAACGCACAATATTGCGAATATATATATATATATATATATATATATGAATTCAGTAGCTCAGCCACTGAAGCAGATCGTGAAGAGAACGACGATGTAAGAATTTTCGATCAAAAAGGTGTGCGGCCCATATCACACAACTTGTTGTCAATGACGTATTGAAAAGCAATACATATTTTTTGCAACATATAAAAAATATTCGAGATGTTGTTAAAAAAAGTAAGTCCCAGGGGTACAAGTCAGCGTTCATTTATTGCAACGCAACAAAACCTCCACTTGACGTACCAGGTGGAATTCGACCTATGTCATGTTGACCAGCCTAAAGAAGAACAAAGAGTTTTATATTAATCTTGCTGAGTCACACGTTGAAATAAATATTGGTGAGGATGTATGGCAATTCATTGACCAGTTTATTGAAGGATTCCATCCTCTATTCATTTTAACAAAAAAAAAATTACAAGAGGAACAACTTATAATAGGTAAGAGTACAGGCAGATGAACTTTATTTTTCATATACATAAATTACTTAATAAACAAACCATCTAGGTTATTTTTTTCAGAAGTTGGTTAGAAGCGAAAATTAATGTTAGTAAATTGGAGAATAACCAATTCTCTAATGATATCATAAATTTTATGGAAAAGCGTACACAGAAATTATTTGACAATTATGCATTTCGATCTGCGGTGTATATTGATCCCAGATTTAACTTTGTTGGTTCTGGTTTCTTTACGAATGAACAGCGTAATTGCGCAGAAATACATATTGTCTAGTTATGGGGTAGATTGAACCAATGGTTTTAATGATATTAAAACCATTGCTTCAATCTACCCCGAAGCAGAAAATTCTCCACCGCCTCCTTCACTAACATCAGAGTTAGACATGTTTATTTAGTCAAATGCCGAATTTACAATAGAACCATCTGCTGAACTCATTACATCAATGAACATAAAACAAATGTTTAGAAGGTAAAAGTTTTTAAAATTTTAAATTTTGTTAGTGTAAAACATATTTCTGTATATTAATTTTATCGAGACGGGAGAGTTGCAGTACCAACATATTTGACGAGCCAAAACTATATGAACTGGTTCAAATTTTACTTGGAGTATCGGCTACACAAGTCTCCGTAGAAAGAGCATTCAGCGCGCTGACATTAATAGTGACAGCAAGACGAACCAGCCTCAAAAGGGAAACCCTCGACAATATTTTAATACTAAAATTATACAATGAACTAATTAGACATTAATGGCCTTTTTTTACATACCATCGTAACATAAGATAATCGTTGTAGTATAGTTTTCTCCACTTTTCTAATTAATACCATTTTAAAACTTCTTTGGGGGTATTTTTGTTCTAAAAACCCCGCCGTTGAATTCCTGTTTTTGTTTTTATTATAAATATGAAATTTAAAAAAAATAAGTATATAAATTATTTTTGTACCTGAGATGTGTAAAAATTATTTTTTAATACATTTAATAAACAAACTAATCAATATCTCTTTTTTGTTTTTGTGCATGATCTATCCCACCACAGCACACAAAACACCAAAAAATAAAAACTTTTGCTACTACACACACAAACACAAATTACCAAAAAAATCAAATTTATTTCTCCACTCTATTTCACTCATAGAGCAATGGTGGGCAAAATTTCTCTTGAAAAATGTTTAAGGGAAAATAAAAACATGAATATTTAATCCAAGGAAGTTCAAAAATAAATTAATTCTTAAAAAAAAAATTCGGAAAAACTTTCATTAATGTTTATTTTTGTTTTAACATCAAAAAATGTTAAGAGAACGCATCAACGCTGGTGTGCACGTCTGCCCAACTATGCTCATGGAGTGAACTCTTACTCTAATTTGAACATTTTGACTCTCACTCTTTTTCATCAGCAAGGAGTACACGCGAGTACTTCCAAACAAAATAAAAGAGTGGGGAGTATACTTCTCAAAAACTCGTACTCTTACTCGGGAGTATTTTTCACTCGCGAGTATTAAATTGTCATGCTGAAGTTTTTGACAAAAATAAACAAAAACAATTATTAATTTATTTTTGACAAGAACTATTCTTTGAGGAATAATTAATGAATTTGTGTATTCTAGGGTTATTGGCGGTTTAAGGTCAGTGAAAAATAAACTTTACGACCAGGTCGCGATTAATTTTAAGTTTCCCACGAGCAGCCTATGGCTCCTTGTGATGTTGTTATATTGTGAATTACAATTTTTTTTCTATTGAGTGGCTTCATGGCTTCCCCGGCCAAAGACTAAATCATGGAAATTGTGTTGACCGAATAAAATCTTTCCATAGGCGTATTTAACCCCCGTCGAGGATTGTGACAAACACCAAAGGGCCGATTCCAATATAGGCTAACATAATCTCCTCAATTTTATGAATAGCTAGGAATTATGGACAGATTTCCACACATAACATTAACATGTGTACCAATCGGCAACGGCGACGTTGTTATAACTGATCTAAGATTAGGCTTGCTTTCCGTCCGCCTCTATGAATGTAGTTTTCTTGAATTTCTATTATTAAAAAAGCCTACATTTAAAGGCCATTTTTGAAATCGAAATGTTGTTGAAAATGTTTTTGACAATTTGCTTTACAAACAATAAAGAAAAAAGTTTGAAACAATATGATTGTCACTTACACCTTATTAAATACACCTTGATGTAAATCTTGAAAACAAAACAACAATTTTTAAAATCAACTTGTATTTTGTCATGTCATATCCCATAGCCTACATACATATATTTATTATACAAGTTTACAAATAATCAGAATATATTCATATTTTACAACAATTTTCTGGCATTTATTTGCATTATTTAGTTTACACATTTTCCAGTGACTGTCTCACAAACTCTTTGCTTTTTTATCCTTTGAGCTTAAAACACATATTTGTTTTTCTTTGTTAGGATTTAAATGAAATTTTAGGTCAGTAATTTATGCACATTTATGGTAAATCAAATCTATTATCGGATATAGTTTAGACAAAGCAGATTGTATATTGCCATTGTCTGTCCTAAAACTATGCTATGAATTTTTATGAGGAGCAGCAGACATTTTTATGCACACCACATGTTAGTTAATTTATTCATATAAAATACAATAGAATTAGAAAAGTTATTGTTTAATTTTTGAAAAGAGAATAAAACAAACATACAAATTTTAATTCTTAAATATTAGTAATATAAATGTTTACTTTATATTTATTAGTCAATTGATAGACTATTGTTTTGACCGTTAATTTTTCACCCATTTTTATACCCTTCACCATAAGGTGGAATGTTTATTAAATTCTTAGTTCCGATTGCAACGCATCGAAATATTCATTCATATTCATAATCAGAACCTCGCATTTAACAATTCATTGCGTATTCAATAATACGGATTGTTTGTCCCTAATTGGCTGAATTATTGTGAAGACACATTATTTTTGATTTTTTTATTAAAATCTTCAAATGGCCCGAAACTACAGTTACAGTTATGAGCACTAAATGTTTTCCTTATAAGTGTAGTATATTTGCACGACGCCTTCGATAAAGAGGCCACATAAAACTTTATCTAATTTTCGGGCACGTGTTTCAACTAATTTGAAAGCAATATAATATTTTGGATTCTAGTAGCCCCCATATAATGTTAACACCATTATTGGGAATTTTGGGTGTCGTGTGCACGTTTCTAAACGAATTAACTTTAATATGATTTTTTAGGGGCCAAATCACCGCAGTCGAAATCGAGTACTTCGGTATCGTAATGTAGTTTACGCAGATCACTCAAGTCGTTATCGAATCGTTTCTACTGGAAGTTGTACACGATAGGTAGGTAGTATGATATCGAAAACATTTTTCGATGTTTGCGCAGAAAAAGGTAAACAAAAAGAAAGAAGAAGTTGGTGAAAATGTAAGTATTATGTATTTAAGAAAATATATTTCACAGATCAAAAAAGGAATGATCACTAGCCGCTTAAAAAAATTCAACAAAGTGAATGCACAGCAGAAAGAGGATGTCGAAATGTGCCCAGACAAATTTATTTTTTCAACAACATATTTAAAATATTCTTTTGACAGACGAATGGATGTTAAAACACTATTAGTTTAAAGCACTCACCTCATAATAGAATGTATAATATATTTGTACAAATATATTTTAACACACAAAAACGATTTCAATTTCTAATAAATAACATATTTTGATCACAAAAACTTATTTTGACATTCTCTTTCCCTTCCAATTTCTTATTGTCACATGTTTACAGCAATGTAAAAAAAGTAGTAAACAAAATAAATTAGATAGATATATTTTCTTCCGGGATCATCAAAACCGATTCAAAATAGTTACAGATACAGTGGAGTTCGCTTATAACGAACACCGGTTATAACGAACACATTTCCTGGTCCCGAAGTTTTAAGACATATTTTCAAATTTTTTCTCTTATAGCGAATTACGGATGTAGTGATCTTTTTAAATAACGAACTATTTATTCGGGCCCATCTTTCAGTTTTCTTCCATTTTAATTAGGTTATAAAGAACTTGCTACAAAAATACAAAATATTTAACGATGACATTGCACACAAACGTCAAACTTTACAAACATGTCAGGTTCATCAAAGAAAAATAAAGCAGGATAAGTATTGCCAAAGAGGACACTAAAAGTGAATATTTCGGTAATTAATATACATGGGCAATATTGCCAATTTTTTAATATTCCGCATTCAAAAAATTGACTTTTTTTTGATTTTTGGTACAGATATAGAGGAAAATGTTCTGACTACGAAACCATTCGCAATCAAATTTTTATTTGATGCGTGCAAAAGTTATCGAGGTTTTAATTTTCTTCATAAGAAAAAAATCTTAAAATTACGCCGTTTATTATACTAACTGAAAACGTTGATAAATGATTTCCTTCGTAAAATGTGAATATATTATAAAAAAAAGTTGCACATCTTCGCGAAATACGAAAAAAACATTAAAAATGTTGGAGATTACGTCAATATTTTCATTATATTTATGATATGTATCAGCCTAAAAGCTAATTTAAAATATCTACATAATCTAAAGACGATGATGAATCTAATGATATCAAAATCACACAAACCGCTACACAGATTTGTAAATTACAGCGACAACAAAACAAGATATTGAGGAAAAATAATCGTTTTTGGTCCGAAGAAATAATCTCATCATATTTATTTTTTTAATTTTATACAATAAATTTCAGAAAAAAAATTTGTGGTTATTCTTCTATTTTACCCGAATTTCGCCGAAAAATTTACATATATAAAAAATTCATTGACATCCATGTTTTCGCAGTGTAATTGTAAACTTTTATTCTTTTGGTTGTAAGGGCACAGGAAGAATTCTGTGAAAGTTGTCTTCGTTAAACAAATTTTTTTGCATTCCAATAATCATTTCAAACATAATTAATGTAATTTCTTTCATATATATTTATTAAAAAAAATTATTATACATTTCCGTAAAATACCACGGGTGGGTCACCTTTGAACATACCCATTAAATTCGAGTAAAAAGCGGAGTTTTTAACTTTTGGCTTCGATTTCTCAAAATTTCAAATGGGATAATAATACTACGAAATTAACTGTATTTTTCATCAAATTAATTTTTGTTTTTATGTCATTTTATGTTTTAATAAATTTTGATCAGAATTTTTTAATTTTCGAAAATTTTTGTATATATTATTTTATAAATAAATGCATTTCTGATATGTTTGAATAAAATACATTTATATTTTAACATAAACACTGTAAACAACAAGCTGTTCAAAAATGTCAAGCCTTGTCCCCTGGGGGGCAGTTTTGAACACTTTGACTTCCTCCCATATCATTAAAGCTAGAAGTAAAAATCAAAAACCACTCAAAATCGAGCTTCAAAATGTCAGCATATTTACCGGTAGATGCAGTTAAAATTTTGAAAAATGATGCCCAATTGCGTAGTCCCCTTTTTGTTGGCTTCTATATAGTTTTACTTTGACACGAAGACCGTGAAATGAGTGGCTAAATCACAAATCGATAGAGAACATAAAAACTGGTTCGCTTCAACCTTTTTTTACACATTTTCCACATTAAAGTAGACACAGCTTCCACCAAATTAATGTTGGGAGGTCAATATCATGAACAGTTTGCAACGACAGATCAATTAACCCAAAACTATTCACTTTTTCATATACTTAAGTAATTCCCGAGTTATAAAGGGGTGAACCTCCGCTTCAGCTATGTTAAAA